ATACCTGTTTGGATTACGTTTCACCATCGTAACCGATCATCAAGCGCTGCGATATCTATTCAGTATACAAAAGTCGATCTCAAAACTGACGGTGGCGATGATTCCGCGATGGAGTATTGCATTGGCTGCTTACGACTACGACATAGTGCACCGTCCGGGCAAAACACTTCTCCAGGCCGATTTTCTCTCGCGGTGGTCCAAAGTTTTCGGATGCTATGAGGTGTCATTTCATTGCTACTGCTGTCCCGATATACCGAGAGGAGTTGCGCCGATTCACTAAAAGATACTATGCAGAAATCATAACGCCTCTATCAAAAGGATGGCGTCCCGACTTGAAGCGGAAGCTCGCAGCATTCTATGCACATCGNAGAAATCAGTGTCCAGCCTGACGGAATACTATGCCGCAACGATCGACTGATCATCCCACCTCCGTTACGCAAGGCAGAGCTAGAAGACCTACACAGAGGCCACTTAGGGGTGGAGAAGATGAAGTCGTTGGCAAGACAGATGTGTTGGCGGCCAGGTCTAGATGAAGACATTGGTCGGACTGCTAAGAACTGCGTAGCATGCCTACAGAAGCAGAAGTCAAAACCGAAGAATTGGGTCCCATGGCAAGAAAGCTGTATTCCGTAGCAACGTGTGCACGCCGATTTCTGTGGACCACTTCTCGGCCATTATCACGCACTAGTGCTTATCGATTCATAGTCGAAATGACCTAAAGTCTTTCTAACCAGCACACCAACTACATCGTTTGGGATGCGAGTACTACGAAAGTGTTTCAGTCGGGAGGGTGTGTCTCAAGTGTTGGTGACTGACAATGGATCGCGATTCCGCGCGGCGGAGTTGAAAACGTGGCTGGACAGTATTGGATGCCGACATCTACGAACAGCACCTTTTCACCCCTGCTCGAACGGCGCAGCAGAAAATTTGGTGAAAACAGTGAAGAGTGCCATCTCCTCTGCGAATCCAGGGACAATTGTAGAGTTGGAGATACTCCTAGACAACTTCCTACTGGAATACCGGAATGTTGCACATGCTACCACCAAAGAGAGCCCAGCGAAACTGTTCAAAGCCAGAAGCTTACGTTCATCACTGAGACGCGTGGATTCGAGTGACGTCATATACTTCCGAGGAAACAACTTGAGACCATCAAGGGAAATCATTACCCGCAAGACTGGTCAAGGTATGGTCGAGATAACTAATCTGACAGATGCAACGGTCCATCGAAGCCACATCGACCAAATTCACTTCAACGAAACTCCGACTTCGACTAAAGACCCTGCCCAGGAAACCCAAGAAAACCTGCCCTGTGAT